AGAATACTGTGAATGAGTATTGTCTGAAAACTGTGTAAGAGTTCAAGGCGGTCAAGCTGTCTTTGTTGTTTGCTGTTGGTTGTTTGCCGAGCTTTGTTGGTTATTGGATTTCTGTTGCTGTTACATTCGATATCCTGGGCCTCCTGCTGTCTCTCTACTCTGTTTTCTGGGATTGCCTGTTTATTGCTCGATCACTTGTTGAGCTTCATCATTGTGGTTGTTTGGTTGTTGCTGTGTTGTGTTGTTTATCTGCTGCTGTTGTGCTTGCTGTGTACCACTCAGCTGATCATTTTCCTTCTTCTTTTGTTCCTTTACACCAGGTACACGACTAATACTGTCCATGTAACTTGAAAGTCGAGCATGAATACAAAAGAGAAGATTTGAAGACGTTTATGTCCACATGTAGTTGTTATATCGAGTATCATGTAGAGTGTATTGGTTTACATTCTTGTTTGGTACTGGAGTTGGTCCTTTCATATAGTGAATGTAAATGTAGGATAATTTAATATGGTGCATAGTTTGACAGATAAGAGGATTGGCAGTATAATAGGCTACATCTTGGAAATTAGTTGTGNAAACAAAAATGTACAAAGCTGCGGGGCCCTCTAAATGTATGTATATATTAAAATATTTAGAATTTGGGACGTGCCGTTTAGCAAGTTTTACGACCTTCCCCAAAATAACAAAACGCTAGTTGTTTTAGGCGCGCCTTTAATAATCTATCTTCTTAAACTCGGGTGTGCATTTCATGCGACCCAAATCCAAAATCCCAAAACGTCGAATAAAATATGTTCCGGATTGTGGGTGCATTTCATGTGACGCAGTCCAAAGACATGTTTTAGGCGATGTTCACATTCTTAATAATAATAATTATGAAAGCGGTTAAAAGATAAAATTTGCACATAAGTTCACATTTGTATAAAATCAGATAAATAGGCCGAATATGACAGTTGAGCGACCGTGCTAGAACCACGGAACTCGGGAATGCCTAACACCTTCTCCCGG